TGTACTTAACTTAGTGTATTTTTCAATTAAATGACTTGTTACATTAAAATGTCAATCTTATAAAATAACAGAAGAGAATGCATATACGAACTAATCATTTCTCCTCATTTTTTTTCATGATCAACTTACAGTAGAAGACGTAGTGGTAGAAAGTAATAACAATTTGATGTTGAATAGGCTTCTGAAATTCATTTGAAGATATGTAAAAATAAAGTTTCCATATTTTTTAGTCAATTGTGTGACCGATAAAACCAATGTATAAACAACACGTAAAACTTGTTTGCGTTTAGGTAACAATGACTTTGTGGTTTTATTTACACTACGGTGGGTGGGTGGTAACAATAAAAATCTCTATAATGGCAAAAAGTAATACATGAAACTTAAAATAGATATATAAGTTTTCAGATAGAATTGTTTTAAGAGCAACCAAAAGGTTTGCATTGAAACTCTCTTTCATTTGAAGCTCTTCTTATGGAATGTTCTTGTAGTTATTTGAAATAGGTTAAGTTCATTGAAATGTATGAGCGGACGTTTGTTCCGAATGAAAAATAATATAGAATAAAACCAAGTATTTGCTTCAGAAATTCGCACCTCTGCAAAAGTCGTAGTATGCAACTTCTACGATTAGAATGTAACGTGGCAAGAATTGCTCGTGTTTGTGTACTATTATTGAAAGAAACACTGGCCCCTCTAAATAAATAAAACTTCTGTGCATACGAATATGCATCCTCGCGAGCTACACCCCAATCTAAAAATTAAAAAAGACAAGTTTCGTCTCATCACAGTTGTGTCCTTCAGACTTTGTCCTCGGCCGTCTGGAAGGCCTTGTTGACGGCGCCACCGTTGGCCACCGCCGTGTCGAAGTCGGGCGGCGGGGTGACGGGCTCGTCGCCGCTGGCGTCGAAGGCGGAGTTGACGACGCCGTCGGAGGAGGCCTTGGCGTCGCCGGCGCCGGCGGCGGCGGCGGCGGCGGCGGTGATGCTGGCCGGCGCGAAGGAACCCGCCTCCACGCGCCCGTTGGCGACGCCCTCCGCGCCCTTCTGCGCAGACGCGGCTTCCGCTGTGCTGGCCTCCAGCGCCAGGCGCTTGTTTTCCTTCCGGTGCACCATGTACATCCATCTGGGGATCGCGCACATAGCACAGGTTAATGCAGATGGATGTTCAGAGAGAGAAAAACAAAGTCAAGTCGTAACGTCAAGAGATGATGTTAATAGTATGAAAAAAAATAATTTGACAGCTAATAACAAGAGAAACCTATAATTTTAACAAATCACACATTGATTATCATTTCTTTTAATAAAAACATACAAACTTCAATTTGTCTCTTAGATACTAGGATGTTGGTATAGGCGTGCGTAGTCTATAACAACGGGGAGAGATCTCAAATACATTTCTGGCTCCCTTTTCTATTCACCATTTTTATAATTATACATGTCATATTTTACTAATAAATAAATAAAATCTACAACAAAGAGAATTAAATGATGACTTTCAAGACTATTATTAATAAATGCAAATTGTTTTGTGTTGAGCTGCTTACAGTTTTTGCAGGCCTGGAAAGCCTCATCCTCAAAACAAATACAATTTTTAAAAATTCCCCAATTCCTAACTTAAAAGGAAAAAGGAAATATTTTCAGAAATAAAATGTTTTTTATCGTACGGCCATGGGGTCTCACTTGAAAATGTTCAGAGGATTCACAGCTCCCCCTGTCCCCCTGTGTGAAAGCCTATGGCTAACAAGGTTGCACGAATTGTCGAACTCACGGGGTTAAACGAACAGAAAATTCGAGAAACGTGTTTTCAGTTTAATCTCGTGTGAAAGGAACCGCTCTGCCTCGTAGAATTACAAAGGGTCGTCAAAGCTAATTGCATGTGCGAGAGATGAAATTCCAGTACGGAATAATCCTTTAACAACAAATATAAAACAATCCAAATAGTTCAGAACCAATTCTTAAGCACCATCACCCAGGTTCATATAAAATCACCACATAATGAATTAATCCTCGAACATTGCTTCTCTCGAACGCAACATCTCCAATGTGCATCTCTTCAAAAATTCATTCTCACTCAATCTTTGTAAAAACCGCACTCATCCTACGCGCATTATAAACAAATATCCATTTCATACATTCTATACAATATTTTCGAACGAAGAAGATAACATACGAAGTACAATCATCGTTTCCTAATAATGGTTATTCCATCTACACTGTAGCAAAACGGTCTACTCGATCGATCGCATTATTTATAAGAAATCAAAAATAATATAAATATTCTATATCGGATCAGATTTTGAGATAAAAGTACATTAGTTAATAAAAACATTATTTATGTGTACTTAAGGTGGTAGTAAATATTCATATAATGGATATAAAAGATAGGAAGTAATAATTACAATTAATGTAATATATTATGTAAAATTTTATATGAAATTGAACGAGATAAGTCTCAAATTTTATTTTTTGGCTGATTCCTGTTCTTCATTGAAGTATCGATGGTGAAACTTTCTTTTAAACTCTTTCTTTTCTTTAGGAACGTTCGTGTAGATGCTACCTGTTCACTCAATATTTAACGCGGAAAGCCTTCAAAGTGCGCCTGGTGGGGCGCCCTGAATAAAATCTCACGTAAAGAAAACTTGTTATACTAATATCTTTTCCATTGTTATTGATTTATTTGCATATCGTACCCTAGTGTCACTGTATAGAGGAAACAGATTCGACGACTCGCACGGTCAATGTGGCTCAGGGCATCAACTATGTCACTGCAGCGCCTCTGACCGGGAGGTCCTAGTGGGTTCAAGTACCGTGGTTTCTCCGATCAACATCAGATGAATGCCCTAACAAACGAACTACAAACCGCGTGTGATCTTCCCATCTTCTTTCTTGTCGTATCTTCACCTCTCACGTACTTACTTACACACACACACACACACACACACACACAGGCACTTCAGTGCCACATTTGTTGGGAAACTAGTTGGGAAACTAGCAGCATAAATCTTGTCATCGCTCGAGAGGTGCCCCGCTGGTGGGAGATACCTGAGAGTACACCCATCACTGGTGCTGAACAAACAGCAATAAACCTCCCCTCCATAATCACAAATATAGATGTAATTGCATCTAGCAAAACACATAATTTTAAGACAAAATTCGACAACTTATAGTAATTAACGAAACGACAGTATTAAGTGGGGTATAATTACGAGAATGGTACGTTCACGGAAACGAGCGACGATAGGAGCGAATTTTTTTATTTACCGTGAGTGCAATTATACCCATTTATACGTGTGATTCGTTCAATATTTTTTCGGTTCCATTAGAGAATAATTTTAATTTTGAGAAATTCAATCATACCTTTACGAAGAGATGTATGTTTTTGATGACGTCATATTGGTTCTGAACAAGACCTCTTTTAATAGGCCTTGCATATTTACGATCACCTTAGTGTCTTAAAGAATAATTGTAATTGATAATTACGTTTGAAATGGAAAATATTTAACGTATTCGGGTTGATATATTAGAATAAACTGACAAAACATGAAAACATTACGTCGTACGAAAAGTAAGGGAATGTATGAGAGAACAACACATGTTGATGTTGGAAAGGAGAAAGACGATTCAGTTACGACTCTGATATTTTGCTGGTGTACTTTCCAGAACTATTAAATACAACAGACAATTACACTTTTTATATTAGTAATATTCTAAGACCAAATGTTTTACATGTACAACATTTGTTCATGTTAAATATTTTATGTTGTTCCAATAGTCAGCTAGTATCAAACCAACATGCTTATGCCATACATGCTTATGTTGAAGACGTGCCGTGTAAATGAGAATACCGATATTTTAAAATATAAACTATTTATTTGATTTTTCAAAGAACGTTTTGTCAAAAAAACCGCGCTCTCTGGACCGTCACGTTCAAATAGGTGAATTAACATATCTGTGCAATACAAAGCGACTTCTGAGTTGGGATGATTGATACCAAGTACGAGTAGGGTAATAGTTTATAATTTAACGTATTGTACTAGAAATATTAATATGATTGTCTAAGAAGTAGTACTAAATATTCATTTATAATTTCGTTTCATTCGTTCATTGATTATATGTTTTTGATGTACGTAATATGTGAAGTACATTTTTGTTCACGTTTCATGGTCGTCTGGAAACGTCTGTATTATAGATACATAACTGAACGATTTCGATCAGTTCTCTGAGTCCTGATTGGCTGTTGTGGACTTTAAATTCTACAATTAAGTTTTTATTGCGCGCATGCCATAAACATAGTGATAATTAACACTTTTTATGGAATTAATGAGCATATTTAGTTAACTAAACGAAAAACAAATTTAATTACACCCCCACATGCCCACATGACATAAAGGTGACCTTTTGATTTCATTTTATTAGCATAGTAAAAGCAGAATGTGACGTAAAAGGAAGAACTACAATCTGCGCACAAAACATATTGTATTTTCTCCTCAAGTCGCCACAGAAAATCACGACGAGAAATTTTCTTGCCGGTTCACACAGGAATTTACGCCTGCCAAGTCCAGTTTATTGTAAAGTGTATGGAGAGGCCCTCTTCTGAACGCAACTTTGACTGAAATTTTTTCCAAGATAAAAGGATTGACACCAGAGTTGCAATTATCTATGATGTGTTGTCAAAAGAGTGAAGTCGGAACTGGTAGAAAGGGGAATTTCCACACCGATTATCCATATGGACGAAAGAAGCGGCATATTCACAATGTGACATGTTTTTTCTACGACAGTAAAAATCCCTCTGGGTTGAAACTTATTCTACACATTACACCTGCAAGATGAGAAAAAGTCAGCGACGCATAGTGTTCGTCAGTTAAATGTCTAATAGACATAAGCAAATGAAAAATGGCACTTGGCGGTTTGAATGTTAACTATATTCGTACAAATATAAGAACATTAATGTTTTCCATACAACCCACCTACTACCAGCACGACACAAACCAGTTTCGTGATATACTAGACATAGGAATAACCAACATAAAGACCAGCTTCTCTCAACTCCTCACTTCGAGCTCGACTCAGATCTATACCAGTTCTAATATCCGACCTACCTACTAAAAACTCACTAAGAAAACTGTCGAAAAGCATAATTAAAATCATTCAAACTCAATATAAAATGAGAAAAGTCGTGTTACCATTTAGAGCCTACAGTCCAAACCCAAATTAAATATCTTTACAGAGATCTCCAGAAAAACTGTAGCAGATTTCACTCATACCAAATAAAACAATTCCTTTCTTTTAACCGCAGTAAAATCTCTAACTACTAATTGACCACATTAAATTAAATTTTATCACACACGTATAATGGAATTTTACGTGATTGAAACATTTTTGAAGTATTCTTTGTGTAGATGCATAGATTCAATTTCTGTGCAGATTGATAGGCAGGCAGCAAAAATGATGTTGCTGCTTTTGCATCTAAGAATGAGCATTCTAGCAGAAAAGTTAAATACGTTCGCAATCTCTGTATTGCACAATAACCTAGGAGCCAAAGTGTTACTGGTAAGGGTCGGAACAATGGTAAGAAAATTCCATAAATACACTCACGTCTTTTACAGAAATCCTCCCATTCATAAACACATGTGACGATGTATTAAGAAGTATAACGATGATAATAAAATCCCCTAAAGCAGTTTAAGTGCAAAGTAAATTCTCCGTTTCGGGATGTAATTAACTTCTTTATCTTCTTCATACTAAAGTCGTTTACAGTTACTAGCAAACAGTAGACATAGCGTCACATGTAGAACGACTTGTTTGGCAGTGATGCCCACCCGCATGATGACTTACAACCAAAGAACTGTTCTTGGTTACTAAGTTTATTTTACAAAGATATATGCAAGTTGTACATGGTAAAGTAAAACTCAAGTGCTTCTTCGCTTTATATTTTTTCACTTCACGGGGTCTAATTGTGTGAAGTAATATTTTTAGCATATTTGATAAAAATTCAAGTACTAATGGAATAAGAGATATATAAAATCCCACATTTTTATAAAAATAGACTTTATGAAAAATGAATAGACTTTAAGTATACAAAAAACTACACTACTGTTTCTTTAAATGTATTTATTTTTAAGTAGCTACAACGATACTGTTATTATTATTGAATGGGAGTAAAATATGCTATTTGTAACATTACAATTCGAAATCTAATTAAAATCGAAGATAATATATATATAAATTTATATATATATATATATATATATATATATATATATATATATA